TTTGCCGCCGGCCGCTCGCCTGGTGCTGGTCGTGGCGTGCAGGCGGCGGGGCGAACGCCGCGGCCTTCTCTGACGAAGGAAAAAAACCCACTTTTTGGAGGCGCTGTCCTCTGCCGCGAAAGGACGCCCGCTCTCCCATTGGCACGTGTTTTTCCGGAGCTGCTAGCCGCAAGGCGAACGCGTTTGGTGGGGGCGAGATAAGGGACGGCGCTGCCCCCCCGCACACGCGCTCCCCTCTCAGCTGTTACCCCTTGGCTGGCATTTCTGGCGCCTTTGCCCCATTAATCGCCCACCAGGTCCCATGGGGGTTTCTCAAACGCGCGAGTGTCTCATCCGAGGCTGCGCCCTGGGTGAGTTCTTGGTGCCTCGTTTGAGTTGGCACGAGAGAGAGAGGAGCGACTTTGGCTCCTAGTAAACGGCCCTTAGAGGCCTTTTTCATGCTGCTGAGTTATAAATAAATACCCGTGGTGGCATGCACCTGTGCGTCAGTGAGCCAGCCCTCGGCTCTCCCTCCCGAGCCCCGGCGTCCCGTCCCTGGCGTGCAGCCGCTTCGCCAAGAAGGCAGTGAAACGAGCGTTGCTCTGGACGCGGAAAAACAGCGGGGGCTGATATCCCTGGTTTTTGCTTCGCCGGCCCCGCGCCTCGCCCTTGGGAAAGGACCCTGGCGCCTCCAGCTCTGCCGCCTTCCTCCCGAGCGTCGCCGTAACTGCCAGCCAGCTGCTTTCTGTCCCGGGGGCCGCTCCGGGTGCCAGCGCCAGGAATCGGGCATGGGTTGCATCACACCTGTGTTTCTCCCTCTTCTCAGCTGCTGCAGAAAGTTAAATGCCTGGGATGGGCTGGAGTCCCTGGCGTAGGCGTATCGCAGGTGTGTTGCTTTTGGATGGTCCTCCTAACACCCCCCCTTTCCCCCGCCCAAAGCCGGCTGCTCTGCCCCATGGGTAGCCATCCTGATGCTAAATGGGAGGGATGTGGTGCGTTCAGGCGAGGGCTTGGGCCAGCGTGGCGTGTTATCGTTGCCCGCCATCGCCGACGTTGCAACGCGGCCCTGAGTGCTGGCGGTGAGGCTGGACCCGGTTAGTCATTAATTCACCTGGCCACCTGAGCCAAGGCCACTGTAATCCCGGGGCGGCCGGGCTGCGGCGTGGGGGGCCGTGGGG